TTTATAGGTGGCAAAGGCAAGAATGCAGCATCACTTCTGTGATATTCCTGCCAACACTGCATAAACCGATTCTAACACGAAGAAACATCAGATAAACTCAAGCTGATAGATATGCTACAAAATAACTGGTCTGTAACCTTCAGAAATGATCACAAAAGTCAAGGAAAGACTGAGGAACTCTTCCAAACTAAAGACTAAAGAGACATGACAACTAAACACAATAGAAGATTTTGAACTGGATCCTTTTGTTATAAAGGTCATTATTGATACAATTAACAAATGTAAATAGGGTCTGAGGATTACATAATATACAACGTTTACATCCTGACGGTTACATTGTAGTTCAGTAGATAATCGCATTTGTAGGAAGAACACTAAGTATTTCAGGGTAATGGGGCAACATATTGACAACTTAGTTTCAAATAGTTCAAGACAGTCTTGATAGGTACCAGCAACCTTTCTGCAAATCTGAGATTTTAAAATAAAAAATTCTTGAAAAATTATTCTTCAAAAAACAGAAACAATGGGTGAAACTTGAAAATATCAAGCAAAGTGAAATAGGACAAATAGTGTACAATTCCACTTATATGAGGCACCTAGAAGAGGCAAATTCATAGACACAAGGCAAAACACAGGTTACTAGTGGCTGGGGATAGGAGGAATGGGAAGCTGTTTAATGGGTTTGGAGTGTATGTTTGAAATGATGAAAAAGTCCTGGAAATGGATGGTGATGATGGCTGCACAACACTGTTAAATGTACTTAATGCCACTGAACTCTACACCTTCCACTGGTTAAAATGGTTAATTTTATGTTATTTTACCACACTAACAAAAAGGTTTTTGCCCTGGCCAGATAGCTCAGTTGGTTAGAGCATCATCCCATATACCAAGGTTGCAGGCTTGATCCCTGGACAGGGCATACACAAGAATCAACGAATGAATGCATAAATAAGACGTTTCAGCCCTGTCCAGGTAGCTCAGTTGGTTAGAGCGTCATCCCAGTGTCCCAATACAACAAGGTTCTGTGTTCAATCCCTGGTCAGGGCACATATAAGAATAAACAAACAACTGCATAAGTAAGTGGAACAACAAATTGATGTTTCTCTCTCTCTCCCCTTTCCTCTAAAATCAATAAATAAAAAAATTTTCAAAACAGGTTTTTAATAAGTGCAATAGATGTTATTTTTATAAGATGTTAACAATATTCATTTCAAATTATTTATAATTATAAACAATTAGAAGCTAATTTTAAAATCCAACAATAAAGGAATTGTTTAAATAATAGTTACAGAGACTTTAGGTTGTATAAATGTATTTTATGTGACAACGCATTTTAAATTGCATGAAGTTGGGACTTCCAATCAAGATGATGGCATAGGCAGATATGGTAGGCCTCTTCCCACAACATCAAAGTTACAACTAAAACATAGAACAGGTATCACTCAGGACCGTCAGACATCAAGTTGAATGGAAGTCTGACAACTATGGAACTAAAGAAACCACATCCATCCAGACTGGTAGAGGGGCCCATAATGTGGGATGGGCTGGTCCCTCACCCACATGTGGTGGATAGAAATTTGGGAGAGGCATCTCAGGAGCAAGGAGTCCCAGCCCCACACCAGGGCCCCCAGCTCAGGGTTCCAGTGCTGAGAAGATAAGTTCCCACAACTTCTGGCTGCAAAAATCACTAGGGATTGAGTTGATGGAAGAAACTTCTGAAGCCCCAAGCAGTTGCTCTTAAAGAACCCACACCCGGACTCGCCTACTCAGCCTCACTCCCTCTGAGCTCCAACACTGTGGTAGCAGCTTGAAAGGCACCAGTGGCATATGGGGAAGAACTGAATTTTCTGGCATTAAAGCGAGCAGAGGACATTGTCCCTTTTCTAAACCCTCCCCCAACAGAGCCAGCAAGCTGGTGCCATAGTCCCCTGAGACTCCATCAATGTAACACTGTTTGATCCACTTTGCAGATCTCCAGAGACTCCACCCCACCCAACTTACAGGCTCACCCCAGCTGCTTTTCTACAGGAATGGCTGCTCCTGGCCCAGCTTCACAACTTCCTAAATCCTATCAAATAAGCAACAGCTGGCTCCAGTGAGCCCCAGGCCCAGCACTAGCCGCTGCCAGCCTAGATTCACAGCTTGGCTTTGCCTGGGAATCTCTAAGCCAAGCACAAGTTATCACCCATCTCAGATTGCTTTATAGTTCAGGCATGGTGCTCCGGGCAAAACACAGGTGGGGGCTGACCTTGGTCTGCACCACCCAGGAAACCCCAGGGCCAACACACCCAGTGGACAGCTGGAGAACACATCAGAGCACCACCATGCTGCCCTGGCACAGTTGATCCTCCACGGAGGGCGAAGATTGGCTGTCGGTGGTCAGTGGTCACAGCCAATCCTTGTAGCTCAGTGGCCTGGGTAAATCCCTCCCGGTGATCGGCCAACAGCAACCAAGGCTCAACTACAAGAGGAGGGTGTATTCAGTCCACACAAAGGGCACACCCTGAGTACCCAGCTTGAGTGATAGGGGAGGCTGTGCCACTGGACCCTACAGGACACCTACTACATTAGGCCACACTACCAAGACACAGAGTCAAAGCAGCTATACCTATTACATAGGAACAATCACAGGGAGACTTCCAAAATGAGAAGATGAAGAAATATGGCCCAAATGAAAGAACAGATCAAAATGCCAGAAAAAGAGCTGAACGAAATGGAGATAAGAAATCTCTCAGATGCAGAGTTCAAAACACTGGTTATAAGGATGCTCAAGGAACTTAGTGAAAACCTCAACAGCATAAAAAATATCCTGTCAGAAATGAAGGATACACTAAATTGAAATAAAGAACAATTCACAGGGAAACAAGAGTAGAATGGATGAAGCTAGACTCAAGTCAACGATATGGAACATAAGGAAGCAAAAAAAAAAACAATCAATCAGAACAAGAAGAAAAATGAATCCAAAAAACTGAGGGTAGTATAAGCAGCCTCTGGGACAACTTCCATCATAGGTGTACCAGGTCCAACATTCGCATCATAGGGGTGCAAAGAGAACAGAAAGAGCATGATATTAGAAATCTATTTGAAAAAATAATGAAAGAAAACTTCCCTAATTTGGTAAAGGAAAGAAACATGCACGCCAGGAAGAACGGAGAGTCCCAAACAAGATGGATGTCTGGAGGCCCACTCCAAGACACATCATTATTAAAATGTCAAAGGTTAAAGATAAAGAGAGAATCTTAAATGCAACAAAAGAAGTTAGTTACCTACAGGGGAGTTCCCATAAGATTGTCAGCTACTTTCTCAAAAGAAACATTGCAGGCAAGAAGGGATTGGCAAGAAATATTCAAAGTCATGAAAAACAGGGGCCTACAGCCAAGATTGCTATACCCAGCAAAGCTATCATTTAGAATCAAAGAGCAGATAAAGAGTTTCCCGGACAAGAAAAAACTAAAGGAGTTCACCATCATCAAACCATTATCATATGTAATGTTAAAGGGACTTATTTAAGAAAAAGATCAAAACAAGGAAAAATAAAATGGCAAAGAATACCAAAGCTATCAACAACTGAATCTAAAAAACAAACTAAGCACCCTGGCTTGGTGTGGCTCAGTAGACTGAGTACCAGCCTGCAAATCAAAGGGTTGCAGGTTCGATTCCCAGTCCAGGGCACATGCCTGGGTTGCAGGCCCAGTAGGGAGCATGCAGGAGGCAACCACACACTGATGTTTCTCTCCCTCTCTTTCTCCCTCCCTTCCCCTGTCTAAAAATAAAATCTTAAAAATAAAATAAATTTTAAAGAATAAATAGAAAACAAACTATGCAAACAAGAACAGAGACAGAATCATGGATACAAAGAGCATTTTGATGGTTGCCAGATGGCAGGGGGGTGTGGGGGAATGGGTAAAGGAGTAAGGGGACTAAGAAGTACAAATAGGTAGTTACAGAATAGCGATGGGGATGTAAAGTACAGTATGGGAAATGGAGTAACCAAAGAACTTATATGCATGACTCATGGACAAGAACAATGGTGGGGGGATTGCCTGAGGGAGTAGGGGTGCTGGGTGGAAGGGGGGGCAACAGGGAAAAAAAAATCAATACAACTGAAATATCAATAAAATATAATTTTAAAAAACTAAAATAAAATAGCATGAAGTAAGTGGCAGGAAAATGGAGACAACTGTACTTGAACAACAATTAAAAAAAGAAAAAAATAGCATGAAGTAAAAAAAGTAAAATAAATAGTATGAAGTATATACATGATCCTCCATAGTTTTTTGGTGTTTTTTTAAAAATTTTATTTATTTATTTTTAGAGAGAGGTTAATGAAGGGAGAGAGAGAGGAAGAGAAACACAGATCAGCTGCCTCTCGCAGGCCCCAACTGGGGATCTGACGTGCAACCCAGGCTGTGCTCTGACTGGGAATCAAACCAGCAACCTTTCGGTTCACAGGCCAGCACTCAATCCACTGAGCCACACCAGTCGGAGCACTCCATGTTTTTAAATAAAACTTAAAAGTTTTATTGTTTATTGCTTTATTGTATAAATTGTTTATTGAATATACACAATTAATAATTTCTCTTAGAATTATACTTGATTATTTTGTCTTGCTTTCTTTATATTTCCAATTTTAATAAGAAATATGACTTACTTTTATAATGAGGAAAAGTTCAAAGTAGTAACACTAACGAAACCCAAAAAGTGTATTTGCTTGTATACAATCTTGAGATTTTTTTTTTGTTTTGTTTTGGGGATTTTTCGTGTGTCTGTGTGTGTGTGTGTGGCAAAAAAGAAAACTTAAAAGATTAAGAAAATATTTGATAATGCAAAGATCATCTCATTTTCCTTAACATGCCACCTCTTGGATTCTGCTCACAATATAACTACCCAAGTTCAATTCCAACTATTCAATATAATACAGATTAGGTGTGTGTTCTGATGTAAGTCTGCCTGCAACTATGCAAACTATCGTGATGCCACAGCAACATCAGACAGCTCACCTCAAATGGGTTCAAATTGAAGTAGGAGGAGCCAGGACGGGTCAATCTTTCAATCTGATTTTTGGATGTCAGAACTGAATCTCTCTTCTCTATCTGTTTCACCTAAAATAAATGGGATAAAAACTTCATTTAGTTAAAAATAAATTCTGAATTGGCATCTTAACAAGTTACTCACTGACATGTTCAGCAAACATTTGTGTATCTACGTGTGCAAGCTATTTTGCTAACCACTTGGAGGAATAATTACAACAGCTACCATTTGCTGAATTTTAATAATGTGAAAACTTTACACATTTATTCCTCTCAGCAATCCTATATAGTAGATTCTATTACCCCCATTTCACAGAAAACTCAGACTTTAGAGATGTTAATGGACTTGTTCCCAATTACCCAACTTGTAAATAAGAATTTTAATCTTAACAGTTTTTGATTCCAGAGCAACCACTGACAGAATTCAAAGTCATATCCGCTACCCTCGAAGAGTTTCCACTCTAATGATAGACAATGTACTTGAGTGTATTCATATTTAATTTACTTTTTAAAGAAAAAATATAATTACACTGAAATATATATTAAAAGTAGCATTAAAAAAGTATGTAGGCGGGAGCAAATAATTCTGCCTGCCTAACTCTAGCGGAGTTAGAAAAATTCCTGTCCTGAAGACAATGTAAAGGAAAATAGTCACTGGGTAGTCCCGGGAAAATATCCTTGGTGCCACTACCAGAGATGGAGTGCCAGTTTGGTATGTTATTTACCACCATTACTCCTCTGGCTAAATGAGTTTGGAAAGATTTTCAATAACATAAAAAGCCATTCTACTCAGCATCTTCCCTCTTCCCTCTTTAAAATAGCATGCCACTTCCCCTACCCACCCACCCAATCTTCTTTCCCAGGCTTACTTCTCATAGCACTTAAATCACTACCTGACACTACATTGTACATCTTTTGTTTCCTGTTTAATCCTTCTCTATGAAATGAAGACAGGATTTTTCTCTCTGTTGTTCACTACCACGTCTGCAGCATATAAACTGTACACTAGTGTATGTCAGGTGCTCAATAAACATTGGTTGAATGATGACTGAAAGGTTCTCCTTTAGGTACTTTCTCTCATCTAAGTCAAACAGACCAGGATTGCTTTTCTCCCCCCTTCTTTTTAAACTAAGAGTTGGCAAATGAAACAAGTTCCATTATAATTGCTGAACACCTTCAAGTGAATGAGGCACTTCAAAAGGACAGACTACAAAGGATGTGCTAATTTCCATTTTTAAATGTAGTACTTTGGACAAACTACTATGTAACACACATTGTTAGAGATAGGAGAGGTAAAAGATAAATGTGATATTGTGCTTCACTCTGAGTGGCTCACAGCCTGGTGAGGAGCAACAGCACTCCTCAAATCCATGCAAACTTCAACAGCGCCACGTTCAGCCTTAAGTAGTACAAAGATGCTTCTCTGCTTATGAAACCCTTTCTTACGCGTTAACTCCATAAATCCTCATAAAAACTCGTTTTAATATTAGCTCATTTTACAGGCATGGAAACAAGATCTGAAAAATCAATGCCTTGAAAGAATTCAATCACAGCCAAGTACCATGCACGCATACAGTCCGAGGTCCTCTGTCTCCAAATGACATGCTTTTCTTTCATTTACTCACTCATTTATTTACTCAACCAACATTTACTGGGTAACCACACGTAGTAAGCGCTGGAAACGCGATAGTAAACGAGACTCAGACCAAACTGACTACTGTCCTAACATGATACGAAGCTGTTACCTGCTCTAAGACCCAGAAAAAATTATTTCACCTCCCTAAACCTCTGGTTCCTCATCTGTAAAAGAGAGATAATATCTACCTGGATGCTGCATAGCGCCTGGCATTCACGAACAGCAGAAATAACCACTAATACAATTTATTAAAGAGGACTAAGTAGAGAGCGCTTCCATTTAAAATAAAAACGGGGGCCAGAATGGCTAAGTCGCCCCCAGGAAGGCCAGCTTCGGGCAGCCCCTACCAGCCCAGACACCGCGGAGTTGGGGAACTCTGCGCGCGCCTAGGTACTTCGTTGGCCAGACTCGCCGTCTACTCGCAGACTTCAGTCTCCAGCCCCTTTTTCGTTGCTCAGGGGATCCCCTGGCAACTGTCACGGAGAGACACACACACACACCCCCAGCCCCTAGCCGCCCGGAAGGCCAGACTGGAGGAGCCGCCCAACGGTCCAGGCCAGGAGGACCACTGCTTTAGCCCGCTCGGAGAGCAGATCCAGGCGGGGCCGCCCCGGTGCCACTACTCATCCCTCGTGGTTCACCTCACTGTAGAAGGTCATAAATGCCTCCTCTGTGCTGCCTCCGCCGCCAGAAGCCCCGCTCTCGCCTGACGCCGCCATTTCCCCGGGCCAGCCACCACGTGATTCTTCTGCGCAGGCGCAGCTTCACGTGATTCTTACAGGCCAACCTCTCTAGCCCCGCCTTCTTCCTAGGACCCTTAAAGGACTCAGCGTCCAGTGGGAAACTGGAATTGAAGACTTTTTTCTTTCTTTTTATAATCCTCACCCTAGAACATGTTTCCATAGGTTTTAGAGAGAGAAGAAAGGCGGAGGGAAACATCTATAGGTTGCTTCTTGCATGTGCGCAACCAGGGATGGAACCTGCAACCTAGCAGGTCAGTGAACCACGACCACTTCGGTGCACAGGAGCAACTACCCACGCAGCACCAACCAAGGGAACCACGTGGCCAGGACTCTAGTTTTGTTTGTTGTTGTCGTTGTTGTTGTTTTTTAAATTGAGGTGAAACACAGATGACATGCAATTAACCGCTTTAAAGTGAATAACTCATCGGCATTTAGTATATTCAAATTGTTGTGCAACCACCACCTCTATCTAGTCACAGAACACTCTCATCACCCCAAAAGGATACCTGACACCAACTAAACCCTTCCTACCGTTCCCCCTACTTCCCAATCCCTGACAACCACTCTGTGTCCTGTCTCCGTTCTGCACATTTCACATGAATAAGGCCATACAATATATGACCTTTTGTGTCTGCTTCCTTTCACTGAGCATGTTTCCATGGTTCATCTAAGGTACTACATATGTAATTACTTCATTACTATTTATGGTGGTTCCATATGTATATACTACAATTTGTTTATTTATTCATCAGTTGATGGACATTTGGCTTGTTTCCATCTTTCAGCTAGTGTGATAATAGTGCTACTATGAACATGTGGTACATGTATTACTTTATCAGTTTTCAATGGGGTTGGGACGAGGAAGGTGTATACCAAATACGTAAAATGAACCTGCTGAGTCATATGGGAATTCTATATTTAACTTTTTGAGCAACTGCCAAGCTATCCTCCACAGCAGCTAAAACATTTTACATTCCCATCAGCAATGTACAAGGGTTACAATTTCTCCACATCCTCACCAACACTTGTTATTTTCTATTTTTTAAATTACAGCCATTTTAGTGCCTAGAGGGATCTTTTGCACAAACTCACTAAGACCCTCCACTGGATGCCCAGCCGAGGAGCTAATCAAAAACCAGCAGTATCAGGGTTGGGTGGGGCAGGGGAAAGTGGTGGCGGGAAAATGGAGACAAATGTATTTGAACAATTAAAAAAAAAGTTTTTTTTTTTTAAAGCCCCAGCACTATCTGAGAAGTAGAAACAGAATTTCTGAAACTGGAATGGTACTTAAAAGTGATTTAGAAACACAACAAATTATTATCACTAGGAAGTGGGCTTATAAATGATTATTTCTATACTGCTTTTGTATTTTTCCAAGTGTTTTGCAATGACCATTTGAAAATGTGCAGGCATTTTTCCCATCTAAGTCATACAAACTAGGGCTGACATTTTTCCAATTAAAAGATACTTAAGAAAAGCAGTTCTACAATTTCATAGAAAGCAAAGAATGTAGTTTTATAACCATGAATAAGATAGATAATTTGGCCTAACCCTCTCATCTAAAGGAGCAAAAAACTGGGCCCAGAGAGACAAAATGACATAGGCAAAGGCTATAAACTACTACTGTCTTGTTTACATTTGTTAGATGGCTGAAGGAAGGTCAAGGCAAAACCTTGCCTAGCCTCCTACTTATGCTCTTCACTTCATTGCACCACATTGCCAAAAGTCCAGTTATCATGCCCATTTGATTATGTATTAATTCATTTTACAAATATTAATTCAGCACCCACTTGATCAAGGCTCTGATAACTTCAAAAGGTGAAAAGTGCAAAGAGAGAGAGAACAAAACAGGGAGCTATGATAGAATGACTAAGGTCAGGGATGGTTTCTTTGAGGCAAGATTTAAACTAAAACTTGAGAGTAAAATGTCAATGCAACAAAAGGACATTGATACCTCTTAAAGAAACCATATATACTTACATATACAATGTTTCTACCCACAACCCAACTAAACCGGTGTATCCTGGACATAAATATCCGGACATAGACATCCTCTGCCCCAAGCCTAGCCTACTGCATCTTACTGACCTTTTTTATCTTATTCTTTTTTAAAAAGACTTTATTATTTATTTTTATAGACAGGGGAAAGGAGAGAGAAAGAGAAGGAGGGAAACATCAGAGACTCCCAACTGGGGACCTAGCCCGCAACCCAGACTTGTGCCTTGACAGGTAATTGAACCGGTGAAAGGCGATCTTTCCTTTCGCAGGCCTGCACTCAATCCACGGAGCCACACTAGTCAGGGAGGAGAGGCTTCCTTTCAGTGTTAATTAGGATTGGAATCGTGGGGTGGGGGTGGACTCCATGTTCCATTCTGACGGCTTCTGACCCGCTCTTGCCCCTCCCCTCCAACTTCCTCCATTATTATTTTCTAATCCTCCGGCCCCGGGGACCTTGCTAGGGGTTGGCTAACAATAGGCCCACCTCCTGCTCAGGATTCGCTGTGAACTACAGGAGCCCCGCCTTACCCATTTCCTGATTCGCTCCCCCTGGGTTCATCCCGCCTCTCCACTGAAAAGATTGGCTGCCTAATCATCAGTGTCGTTAGGGCCTACAGGGAGTCTCCACCGTCTCCGTCTGGATTTGTGTTGCACTGAAAACCATGGCAGTCACGGCGCTGGCGGCGCGGATGCGGCTCGGTGTGTGGGGCGTGAGGGCAATGCAAGCCCGAGGCTTCGGCTCCAACCAGGTATGCCCGCGGCAGTGTCCGCTGCCCCAGCCTTGAACGCAAATGCCGTTTGTCCCTCCACACCTTTACCCACGTCCTTGTCTCTCCGCAGTCAGACAATGTCTCCGGCGCGGGTTCGGTGAGAGAGGCCGGTGGGGCCTTCGGAAAAAGAGAGCAGGCTGAAGAGGAACGATACTTCCGGTGAGGCCACGGGGTCCGGAGTCCGTCCATAGATCTCGCAGAGCTTTCCAGGCCTTTTTAAAGGTCTAATCGTCCTGCCCCACCCCACAACAGAACTCCCGGATCCCGGAAACCCTTGCTCCTAATGCTCTGCTGAATAGCCCCAGGGTCCCCAATCCAACCCATTTTCACCTGTGCGTCTCCGGGACTGTTAAACCATGGCCCAGCTCTTCCAGAATCATTTACCATCCCCCACCCGTGGAGTTCTTCCCGGGTCTTGCAAAACGCCCCATAGGTTCTTTGCATTGTCTAGATGCGACTGCCCAGTACTTGCAGAGCCTCTGAGCCTGACTCTCTCGACCACCGCCCATCACCCCTTAGGCCCGTAGGCTGTGTTCTCCATCACATGCCTTAGCCATTTACTAGCCACCAATGGACGTATCCCCTGACTCTTTAAGACACTGTTCCATTCCTAGATCTCCAAAGGTCTCCAACTCGGCCAGAATGAGTGAGACAGGGGAGCTGGGTGCTCCTGGTTGGAAAATTCCTCCCTACTTCCTGGAGACTTTTGCCCAGCTCCGCCCAGCTGGGTAGATTCTCATTCTTAAAGAGTATGGAGTGGGCTGGGCCCCTATTTACATTTTTACCAACCTTGAGTTATCTTTTACTGGCTTCTGTGCACTTTGGGAAGTAGCACAGTACTAATCTCATTTATGCTTCTCCTTTGGCCTATCTTTTCATTTCTGCCCTTCGTTGCTCAGTCTTAAGAATTATCACCATGGCACCTGGCACACCAGAATGCGAAAGTACAGCCCTCAGGGACCATCAAATTGGGCCCCTACATTTTATAGTTAAGGAAAAATGAGGCCCAAATGTGGCCAAACCAACATTTGAATCGTTTCTTATTGAGACCTAAATTGGACTGCCAAATATTACCCATGCAATAGTCCCATCTTTTTTTCCCCCCTTCTTTTTGGCTTTTGTAGTGGGCCATGAATTTCTCTAGGCAAAGAAAGCCCTAGATAAATTAGGAGAGATTGCAAATATTTGTCCTTTAACTATACTCCTTTGTTGTTCTCCCCTCATTTCCCCAAAAAGGGATTATGTTCTCTTGGTATTCCTCTAATAAAGGTATTGGGAACTTTTGTTACACCTCTCTGGAGTTTTCTGCTCTAAAGAGGAACCTAAAAGGAATAGCTCTCAAATGATGAAATTTCAGGCACTAGCACCAGAAAAATGAAATCATTTTGGTCATCTAAAGATGGATACATCTTAAGATGGAGTATTCTTTCACTTAAATTGGGTTTGAAGCAGTAGAAGAGGATGACCAGCCAGACTCCTGTGGGATTGGGACTCCTTTGCCTTAGGTATTGCAGGTTATGTTTAGAAATCTCTTCGGGGTGACAGATTAGGATTAAACGCATAGCCATTGTGTATTTGTAGAGCAAAGACTAGAGAACAACTGGCAGCCTTGAAGAAACACCATGAAGATGAGATCACTCATCATAAAAAGGAGATTGAGCGTCTGCAGAAAGAAATTGAGCGGCACAAGCAGACCATCAAGAGACTAAAAGAGCATGCTGATGATTAAGTGCACACAGTTCCCCGTAGAATGGCTGCATATTGCCCACTTTTATGAAGACATAATTCTGGTAATTAATATCTATCTGTGCTGCCAACAGGTTATAATAAATTGTCATCAGTGAACTGTGTCTAATGCCTTCTACCATCTGGAGAGGGGTAGGGGTACACACTATAGGACTGCAAAAATGAATCAGAGAGAGTATCTGCAATAGGGAGCTTAAAGACAACGCACAGCATGATAAGTGCTGTGCCACATGGGGGGTTGGAGGGAGGCAGGTGTGGCATAAGGAAAGGCCCCTTTCCCTGTCTTATATGAGTCAGAGGTTCAGAGAGAGCTTCTGGAAAGGTAAACCCTAATTCAAGGTCAAGAGCAGCCTGGAAAACAGAGATGAGTAACGTCCTAAAAGATACAATTCAAGGCTCCATCAGTCCACTTTGCATTTATAAAATGGGTTAGAGAATTCTTCACATAAACTCGCTATCCTTGTTCTAATTAATTATCTTTGTGCAGATTGAGAGAACTGGAGTAAGAAATTATGCATTGCCTATGGTTACTCAGTAAATTGGAGTTGAGATTTGGCATCTAGGTTTTTTGACTCCTAATCCAAGTCTATAAATAGCAGAGAATCAGAATTATATCTTAGGTTATATATTGCTTCACCAAGTGTACTCTTGTTCAAATTAGACTTTAAGGACTTGTTTAACTAAATTACTTTTTAAAATATTTTATTTTTAGAGAGAAGGGAAGGGAGGGAGAAAGGGAGAGAAACATCGATTGGTTGCCTCTCACAGGCCCCCAATCAGAGACCCAGCCCACAACCCAGACATGTGCCCTGACTGGAAATCAAACTGGTGACCTTTCAGTTCTCAAGCCTGCACTCAACCCACTGAGCCACACCAGCCAGGGCACAAAATTATTATACAAGCTAGTTGTGTAACTAGGCAAAAAAAATGAGGCGACATTTTGGGCAATTAGCAAGACATTTTCAATTCAATGGTTCAGTAGATCATTTGCCCCACAATTATGATTAATCATTTATTGCAAGACCCTATGACCTTTGCAAAAAGGCCCTAAGGCCATTGAATGATAAAACCTTAGACAAGTCTGCTTGACCCTGGCATTGCAGACAAAACATCAGATGGCTGTTTCTAAAACATTCACTGGTGCTGCAGATGGGAAGTTTGTAGACAGTCCTGAAGTGTGGGTGCTGAGATTCAAGTGGCCAGCAGCAAAATGACAAAGTACAAGAAATGAGCATGCTAAGTCACGGTACTTTTTAAAAACAAAGTACAAAACTTGAAAAGTTTAAAAATTAGTTGAGGAATACGAAATCCCCTGTTTGTAGATGATAGTGTTTTTGTGACCTCTTATAATCAACAAATTGTTTTATTAGGAATGATATTCTTGAGTTGATTCCTTAATAGGGGTATACCATCTGCTCTTGACATTTTATTTAATTATTTTTAGAGAGAGGGGAAGAGGCAGAGAAAGAGGGAGAGAAACATCGATCAGTTGCCTCTTGCATGCCCCCCGCTGGGGCCGTGGCACACAACACAGGCATGTGCCCTGATTGGGAATGGAACCAATGACTTCAGTTTGCAGGCCAGGGCCCAATCCACTGAGCCACACCAGCCAGGACTACATTTTTATTTTTAATAAAAGTGTAATAATTATTGAGTAGAGTAAGCAAAAAGTTGAAACTTTAAAATGATGAAGCCCTGCCTAGCCAGTGTGGCTCAGTTGGTTAGAGCATCATCCTGTAGACCAGAAGGTTGTGGGTCCAATTCCTGACTGAGGCACATGCCTAGATTGCGGGTTGGTCCCTAAACAAGAGGCAACCAATCAGTGTTCTCTCTCTCCCTTCCCTTCTCTCTAAAAATCAATGAGCATGTCTTTGGGTAAGGATTAAAAAAAATTAATGAAGATGAATCATAAGCTTGAGTTTGGGTTGTTTTTTTTTTAAAGATTTTATTTTTTGAGAAAGGGAAAGGGAGGGAAACATCTATGTGGAAAAGAAACATTGATCGGTTGCCTCTTGTATGCATCCCAACCTGGGACAACCTGCAACCCAGGCATGTGCCCTGACTGGGAATTGAACTGGCAATCATTTGCTTCATGGGACAACACCCAACCAACTGAGCTACACTGGTCAGGGCAGCTTGAATTCTTAAAAAAGTAAAATGAATAATTTTTGGAGCAGCCTCATTTAAGACTATCAAGTACCCACAATCCAGCAGCATCTGGGAACCGGTTACAAATGGAAATTCTCAGGCCCCAGCACAGACCTGCTGAAGCTGACGGTGGGGCCCAGCAATCTTTTTTAACACGCTCCCCCAGGTGATTCTGATGTGCACGGACATTTGAAGACCCCTGTACTGCAAGTACAATAGTTTTTTTACAAAATATGCTGCCCTCTTGGGCATAGAACACTTTCATAAAGGCATTAAGTATAATGTTGATACATATTTAATATAATTCTTAATATGAATGCTATTTGATGATTTAAAAATTAAAGTATGTTAAGAATCAATGTTTTAGGACATAACATTTTGCAGAATTCAATTTGGAAAATACTGCACTGATTTATGGCATTAGTTAAAATTCTTTTTGTCTACAAGTAACAGAAACCAGCACTGGCTGGCTTAGGGAGGAGAAAAAGTAATTTATTAAAAGAACAGGGGCCATTATTGTCTCAGAATTGACTTGAACAAACACAACTTAGAAAAGTCAGGGACCAGAGAACTGCATGAGCAGATCTGTCTAGCTTCCTAACCGCTGATGTCAGAATCATCGGGGCCACTTTTTAAACAAGATTTCAATGGACTTTCACACCATGAAGCCACTTACCAGACATACAACAATTTATATTTATGGAGCTCTTTACAATTGTTCTGCTCATTAAATCTCATATAATTCTGGCAAATATGTCCATACCATTAGTTTATAACCAAAGTAACTGAAGCAGGGAACTATGAAGTAACTTTTTCAAGGTCACACAACCAGGCTTGTGCTGAGCAAGGACTTTACTTCAGGAACTCCTGGTCCCACAATCTCGAGTTGCAGTTCCATATAGTGGTTCAGCTGCCTATTTGCTCCCCTCCTCGATCTGAGACAGGTCAGGGGACATCTGGGTGTGGGTGGTAAAGGAAGAGGTTCCTGGCAGTAAAAGTAGACATACCAGTAGTTGGCATTGTGTTAGCTGTGACATGAGTCGCGCTGGTATGTCAATGCATGCCTATACGGTGCAAACACATTTGCAATAGAGCTTGGTTTGAGATTTTCACATCAGTAAATAAAAAACTAATTCTCAACCCTGGCTGCACATTGAAATAATTAGGGAGCTTCAAAATTAACCTGATGCCTGAGCACTGATTAAATCCAAAACTCCAAGATTGGGGGCTCAGCATGAGTATTTACAAAAAGCTCCAGGTTTTTCCAATATGTGGCTTGTGCTGGGAACCGCTGGTATAAAGGATCCTTCCAGATCTGCTGCATAAGGTGTGGGCTGCAGGTTGTTCACGGCGTAAGGACACCTAATTGAAGGGTCCTGGGAGGACTGAAATTCAGCCCACATTTTGCTCACCAAGCAGTATACTCTAGGGTGACATTTGTTATGAAAAAGAGTAACCTTTTGGCATCTAATTTCCACAAAGAGGACTCTTGGTCATTCCACTATTCTAGAATATGCATATTTCATTTTCAGACTTTAAAAAATGTATTCCTTAAAATTTATATTTAACATCTACTATATGCTGGGCACTTCATATGCACTAGGAATACAACTATGAAATAGTCACAGCTCCTGTTCTTGTGGAACCCACAGCTTATTGAGAAAGACAAGTGGCTAAACAGCAGTGTGGGAAGCGTTCTGATGGTGGTGAGTGCAGAATACTGGGGCGCGGGGGTGGTGGGGAGCCAGGTAATACTGGACAGGCACCACCCACAGCTGAGGCTTAAAGGGACCTCATGGTCAAAGAGGTGTAACAGCATCTAGGCGAGAGGGAGGGAGTAGCATTCAAGGCTGAGTGACAGCATTTGAAGAAGCATGGCTGATTGGGGAATTAACAATAGATCAACCTGTGTATCTGGAGCATGAAGGGGAATAACAAGGAGGGAGGAGTTAGTGTGGTTGGAGGGCCTACCACTCTTCCAGCAGCTGGGTTGGCCATTTGTAAGCTTAATCACTGTCCTTCCTCCTTCCTTTCCAACCTCTTTCCCTCCCTCCTTTCCCTCTTCTTTCTAGGTATAGTCCTTTAATAGAGCAGAAAACACATAAACCACTTGTACCCTATTTAAGTAATCTAACTTCAAGCACTGGAAAGGAACAAAAAGCTTGGGAGCAGCAAAGGAATAGAGAAACATGGAAAAACGTTTACCACTGCTTCACTTGGTGCCACCGGCACAACTTCACAATTAGCAGGTTCCATAGACTTCTCCTTGCTTGCCACATTTTTAAAAAGATTTTATTTATTTTAGAGAGAGGGGGAGGGAAAGAGAAAGGAAGGGAGAGAAACATCAATGCAGTTGCCTCTCATGCATGCCTCACTGAGGACCTGGCCGGCAACCCAGACATGTGCCCTGACAGAGAATCGAACCAGCGGCCCTTTGCTTCGCAGTCTGGCACTCAGCCCACTGAGCCACGCCAGCCAGGGCACCACTCTTTTTTAATTGAGGTAAAATTAACATAATATAAAATTAATCACTAACCATTGAAAGCATGAAATTCAGTGGCATTTAGTATATCAAAACATTGTGCAAGGCCCTGGCCAGGTAGCTCAGTTAGTTAGAGTGTTGTCCTGATATGGCAAGGTTGTGGGCTCACTTCTCAGGACATATACAAGAAGCAACCAATGAATGCATAAATAAGTGGAACAACAAATTGATAATTTCTCTCTCTTTCTTGCTCTTGCTTTCTCTTGTCTCTAAAATCAATAAATAAAAAACAATTTAAATCTTGTGCAAACATCACTTATCACATGTTGAGTTATTTTTGTCATCCCTCAAATTCCATAATCATTAAGCAGTCGCTCTCCTTTCCCCCAACTAGTATTCTGACTTCTGTCTCTATAGACTTGCCTTTCTGAATATTTCATATAAGTGGAGTCATATAAAATGTATCTAGTTTTCT